CGATTGGGCCATATGACCAATCGAACAGAGGAAAAGGGTTGCTGTGTATTAAAGAGGGTAGCGTTAGAATAGACGGATTATTGTCATCTCCAGCTTGTGGCCTCCAATCATCTCTTGAGCCGTGATGCTGTTCGTATCCTCCTCCTCCGGCGCCGCTTGTAGCAGAGATTTCACCGCGTCCCGGGGTCCAAGTTGCTCCTTCTAGCTAGCTCTATTGCCGTCAGATAGTCGCCAAGTGTGGGGAAATCGCCTTTGCCTTTAGGGTGGCCGCTATTGCAAACGGAGTTGCTCAAGGCCAATCGCAGTGGGTGAACATGCACGTAGCAGACCGTTTACCCTCTGCCCTCCAATATCACCTCATGTGTAGGTGTAGCATTCGAGGGTAGTGCTCCACATATCGAGAGTTTCGAGTGGACCTCGCATCCCTGTCGAGGTGGCATGAACCTGCGTGAAAAGCTAGAGATCAGAGCACCAGAACCGAAGGGAAGGTTCATTTACCCTTGAATGGTATCACTTGAGTGACAGGTATTTCTCCTTCTTTTGAAACGCCGAAAGAAAGGGACGTGTTCTCCAGCCCTGTCGATGGCTCAACAGCGCGCTTAGAAAGGCTGTCCAACAGAGTAAGGCATTCTGGAAATAGTCTTGTAGATGTGAAGACGGGAAAGCTTGGGTCAAGGGGCTAGGGGAAGGTGGCGGAGAGTTCAAACTCCGACCTCCCTTGCTGGTCCTCATTCCTTGCTTCTTGCCTCGCCTGAGTGTGCCACTCTGAGGCATGTTTCCAGGTCATATATTGTCGTTCGGATTGAGGAATGATGGTGCTAATAGTATCCGCATTTAGGTACTCTCCAAGTTCTTCGATAGAGTTACTATTGCACCCAGTCTCAAAGAACCCATTAGCCCAAGCTCCGATAACGGTTACTTTAAGGACATATTTAGACCCCGACAACACCCCTATACTATCAAAGTGACGATCTTGGGCGTACTGCTCCCGCCAAGTATCATGGATCGATCCTCCTCATTCGACTTTACATGTGTCTACAACTCCGGTTGAAGTTACAATAGACAACCGGTTAACAAAGAGCCGGCCGACTCGAGCGGCCTCGCTGCGCGCTGTATAATAGCTTGGAGACAGCCACCTCCACGTCTTGATAAACCCTCGTTCGACCTGCTTGCGGTTACCAAATTGGTCACCACTATCAATATAATTGATTAGAAACCCGCTGGACGACCAACTACCGAGGTGTAGAGAGGTTGCCATCTTATCACAATCGAGCTTCGTTTGTCATCCCAAAGTTCACGGATAAACTAAACGCCATTTCTTTCTCCCAAGAGATTTGGATCAACATTGAAACCGGTTTATTGCCACAGAGCAAGAATAACTGTCGTAACTAGAAGTGCCGACCTCTCCATAATGGCCGAACAATCTACCACTACTGATTTCCCGACAATTTTTGATCCAGCGACCTGTGTCCGTAAAGGATTATGCCCAGTAATGGCCATACAGGGGCAGCAAGAGACAGCGCTCCAAAGTCACTCTGTCTACTTTGAGCAACACGGCACCGGCGGTGAAAAAATCGTCCTTATTATGGGACTAAACACTTCATCTTTTGCCTGGGGCAAGCAGGTGCAGCATTTCGCCAAGAACCATTCCGTGCTCGTGCTTGATAATCGCGGAGTTGGAAATAGTGATAGTCCAAAAGGACCGTACACGTATGTGCACCTCGATCTGTTGGATCATACCCTTTAGAATCTGACTTTATGCTTAGCACATCTGGTCTCGCAGACGACGTCATTGCGCTGTTGGATTACGTTGGTTGGAATAAAGGGAGAGAGCTGCACATTTTCGGAGTCTCTATGGGTGGAATGATTACTCAGGGTATGTTTTTCCCTTTTGACTTTCCCATGTAGACGCAGCATTCAACCAAGCTTCGGGATACAGGATCGTGAGGGCAAGATCCGCT